GGAAACAGTCACCTTTTTTGATGTCGTTCGGCATGATTATTGGCGTTAGGCCATGGAGACAGAATTAAATGCTCTAGTCAGCAATCACACATGGGACCTCGTTTCCCAACCCTCATACAGGAAACCTATTGGTTGTAAGTGGATCTACAAAATAAAACACCGTGTTGATGGTTCCATCGAAAGGTATAAAGCTCGCCTTATTGTCAAAGGCTTCACTCAATGGGAAGGGTTTGACTATCAAGAAACCTTCTCCCCTGTACCCAAATATGTCAATGTCCGTACATTCCTTTCTATAACTTCTCACCATGATTGGCCACTTCATCAGATGGACGTCCATAATGTCTTTCTCCATTGGGATCTTGATGAGGAGATTTATATGGATATTCCTCCCAGTCTTCGCAATTAGGGGGAGAATCTTGTATGTCGATTACGAAAATCTTTATATGGGCTAAAGCAAGCATCACGATAGTGGAGTGCAAAGTTCACAGAAGCTCTCACAGCCATTGGATTCACTCAATCCAAGCATGATTATGCCCTATTCTCCAGACAAAAGGGAGACTCTTTCATCAGTCTCATAGTTTATGTTGATGACATTCTCATTACAGAAAAAAACGAGAAAGCAATCACATAATTTAAGGACTATCTTCACAGTACATTCCACATTAAAGAATTAGGGACACCAAAGTTTTTTCTGGGTATTGAGATTGCTCGTTCCTTAGAAGGAACATCCCTCAACCAACGGAAATATTGCTTGAACTCATTGTAGATTCAGGGCTAGCCGCATGCAAACCTAGCATCATTCCCATAGAGCAAAATGTTAAGCTTACCACACAAGAATATGATGAGAAAAGCCAAAATCCTAAGATTGATCCATTATTAGAAGATAGCTCCAACTATCAACGGCTTGTCGGAAGGCTCATTTATCTTACCATGACTCGACTAGATATTAGTTATGCAGTTCAAATCCTCAGCCAATTCATGCATGCCCCAAAGCAATCCCACATGGATGTAGCAGTGAAGGTACTAAAATATTTGAAGGGTTGTCCAGGGTTTGGACTTCTTTTACCAAGGAAAGGAGACCTCAACGTCACTGCGTACTATGACTCAAATTGGGGTTCATGTCTAATAACAAGAAGATCCCTCACTGGTTTCTGTGTTAAACTTGGAAAATCGCTTATCTCATGGAAAACAAAGAAGCAATCTATCGTAGCGCTCTCATCAACAGAGGCAGAATACAGAGCCATGGCCAAAACCATTTGTGAGGTCACATGGATTCTTGGATTATTACAGGATCTAAATCTATAAGTGGAAACACCAATTAAACTATATTGCGACAACAAAGCAACCAACGACATCTCAGCCAATCTAGTCTTCCTTGAAAGAACAAAGCATATAGAGATTGATTTTCACTTTGTCAGAGACAAGATACATGAAGGTATAATTAAAACAGAGCACATCCGAACCTCAGATCAGCCAGCCCACATATTCACAAAACCATTGTGTCAGAGGCAACATTCACATTTATTGGGCAAACTCGGAGTTCATGACATTTATAAACCACGAGCTTGAGGGGAAGTGTTGACATGTGAATGACTGTGCAAGCCATATTTGGAAGATTTGTAATATTGTCCAAGTATGGTAGAATTATATTATTGCCTTGTACGTATTGATTTACATTCATTTCTTTTATTTTATTTCCTTACATGTTACATTTGCAATTGTATAAATTGTAACTCTTGTACATGAAATATATATACAAAAATCATTCTTCTCTCTTTCTTCCCTGCTTATACTCTCTCGGCATACTCAGCAACTTTAGTTGCCTCTCTTCCTTTTGCACTCTTTGGTAACTCAGTTGCCTCTTCATGCTACTCCAATATTAGATTCTTATAGTTTTTCCCTCACTCCTGCAAACTCAACCTCATCCCATCAACCTGCTCCATTCACCTCTTCGACTATTCCACCATGTCTCACTAATACTCGAGATAATACACCAGCTTGCTCCTTTGCACCATCGGTATCTTTTACTCCAGCATCAGCAGTCTCTCCTGCAACTGCAATAACAAAATCTCAATAGTCTTCTGATCTTATTCAGTCACCTCAAACTGTTTCCTCTATCAAGTCCTATCCCAACATTCCCTTATATCTTGACGTACAAAATCCTACCAAAGCTATTGTGCCTTGAACTCAAAATCATCATCCTATGATTACTCGAGCTAAAGCAACCGCATTAACAGCTTTCTTCTTCGAAGCCTTTTTCCCTTAAACCTACATTAGTTTCTGCAACACTACAAGATCCTAACTGGCACCAAGCTATGGTTGAAGAATACAAAGCTCTACTGAACAACAATAGTTGGTCTCTAGTTTCATGCTCAGATGATATGAATATTGTTGAAAATAAGTGGGATTTTAGAGTGAAAATATAATGCTGATGGGACCCTACAAAGGTACAAAGCTAAACTTGTAGCTAAGGGGTTTCATCAAACACCAAGTTTGGACTATCTAGAGACTTTCTCTCCTATTATTAAAGCCTCAACCATTCGCATTATTCTTTCATTAGCAGTCACTCGTGGTTGGCAAGTCAAACAAATTGATGTAAATAACGCCTTTTTGAATGGAGACTTATCCAAGAATGTCTACATGGTTCAAAGATTCATTAGTTCAGAGTTTCCTCATCATGTTTATAAACTCAACAAGACACTTTATGGCCTGAAACAAGCTCCTATAGCCTAGTTTGACAAGATGAAATGAGCTCTTATAGCCTGGGGTTTCAAGAATTCGACTTTTGATACTAGCCTTTTCTATTATACTCATGGGACTAACACACTATATATGTTAGTTTATGTTGATGATATAGTCATCACTGGACCCAACAACCATTTGATTAGTCACATAGTCAATGATTTGAATAATAAATTTGCTTTAAAGGATCTTGGTGATTTGCACTATTTCTTAGGCATGGAGATTCTTCGTACAGACCATGGATTAAAACTCAGTCAATAGAAGTATGTACACGACTTATTGCTTAAGACACAAATGTTGAATTGTAATGCGTGTGTTACTCCTTCGGCTGTTGGCTCTAAACTCAGTATGGAAGATAACCCTCTGTTTGATCAATCCTCTATCTACCGAAGCACCATTGGTGCTCTTTAGTACCTTATCTTGACTAGACCTGATCTCTCTTTTGCCGTAAATAAACTCAGTTAGTTCTTAAGGCCCCTGCCTTTAGTCATTGGCAGGCATGTAAGCATATCCTTCGGTACATTAAGGGCACCTCTGACTATGGTTTAACTTTGCAATCTGGTGGTGATTTGAAACTTGAAGGTTATGTTGATGCTAATTGGGCAAGCAACCTCTCTAATTGTCGCTCCACCAGTGGCTATTGCATCTATCTTAGACCAAATCTAGTCTAATGGAGCTCCAAGAGGCAACATGTTGTTGCACTATCTTCCACAGAGGTAGAATACCGTGCTCTTGCTCAAGCCTCCACTGAAATGGCATGGATGCAGAACCTGTTCCAAGAATTGTGCATCCTTTTATCTCCTCCAGCAATTCTTTGGTGTGACAACACTAGTGCTATTGCTCTAGCTTCCAACCCTGTGTTTCATGCACGCACAAAGCACATCGAAATTGATATGCACTTTGTGCGCGAAATTGTCACCCCCAAAAGGCTGGTTGTTCAATGTGTCTCCTCTGAATTTCAAACTGTTGATATTCTCACCAAGCCATTTTCGGGTCCCAGGTTTCATATGCCACGTGCAAAACTAACTGTCTTGCCTATCCCCTCAGCTGCTCAATTCAAGTTTGTTTGAGGGATGATAATGATGGCCATCCAAAACTTGAATTGAAACAAAATTGATATCAGTAGTTATGATGTCTTGACTTTGAAACCAATTTGAGGATTAGCAGCAGCAACACAGTTCAGCTTCTTATTTATGATCTCGAAATTTTCATTAAGTTGGTTAAGGGACGATGTCCAATATATGTATGCTGGCTGCACTCAATCTAAAAGATGATGTTGAAGTCTAGTTTCTGAAGGAATTTTTGTTTGAGTTGGCTTGAGGGACGATATTGAGAATACAAGCTGCACTCAACAACAAATAAATGTACTGGAGTCAGGACTGTTCTTTTGGTTTGCTGAAGTTGTTGGTTTTCAGTTATGCTTCCCACCCAAAATCAACTTGCACTAGTTGCTGAATAAGTAGTTAAGCACGTTGATCAAATTGCTGAACAAGTTGCTCTCACTCCCTGCAAATCCAACGGCAGTCAAGTTTACTCTGTTTTTCTGTGTTTCTTAGTTGAGATAATCTTTCATATTGTTCAACAGATAGTAATATAAAAGGATGTTTCTTGAACTTGAAAAATCAATATAGAAGCATTATCATCATTTTTGTATCTTTCAATTTTTCAGTATTTCTCTGCAACTCTAGGTTACTAGATTTTCTGCACTCTAAACAGATTTTACAGTTTGAGGAAGATAATTTTCTAGTATTTGTAAGGTCCGGACCTTTATTATTACACCAAAACTCAGGGGGATTAAGTCTTTCTCTTAGCATTATGAATTACCCTTTTCTAGATTTTTTTTGGTGTACTCTTGAGGCAATGAAGAAGGACATTGTATATTTAATTATTTATCATTGAGTGCATAAAATTAACTATTCTACAGATTTTAAAAGGTTTTACTTGATTCTGTAATTTTTATAACATAATGGAAGTAATAATGATTCTAAATGATGAAGCCATATCAGATGCCACAGTTTTCGAATTATGGCCTCCAAAGTCAAAATGCCGGTACCTTAATATTTTGGTATGATTGGCTTATGTTATTATCCTCTCCAAATTCGCTTTCTCTTTCATGCAAAGATCTGCATTTTCATATGAATCATTAAAAGTTATGGTCCCAAGCCAGAAAGATCATTAATTGACTTTTTCATTGGTTACCGGTTGGCCTAATGGTCCTAACTGACAAACACACAAAGAAACCAAAAATTCTTCACATATACATTCCACCCTGTGTATACAATTTGCAAAGGACAAATTTCCCACCAGCAATGACAAATTTATAAGTTGCAAATCAGCATCTCAATTACTTGGTTAGTGTTGAACAAACAAATCTTTTAGATCCAATCACCAGTGCGTAAAGAAACTGAAGTATGAACAACAATGAGAATCGAATTCAAACTGTATTCTTTAACTCCATACTTCAATCAAAAGTTTCCCATTTTGTCGTGACCACGACAGATGGCGAATGTCCCGTTGGTTGTTGCTGCACTGGCCTTTGCTCTGTCAGATTCCTCTGCTTTGATTGCACCTGATGCTTCTGCAATGGTTTTGGTATTTTATCTTTTTTCTGAAGTGGGATTTTGCCTGCTTTACTGTTAAGCTTTAACATATCAAGAATTTCTATGCACTTTTGAACTCTTTTCCTTAAACAATAATAAGAATCAATAAACTTTCTGCTTTAGTATGTAACAATAAAGAAATAACAAATGCCAAATTACCTGCATTCTCTTTTGCAGCTTTAGATCTCCCTCAATTGCAATTTCATCCAATTTAACTAATTCTGTCATCAGCATTCCAATCAAATTATCTGTGATTCTCTCCCCTCTAGAAGCACTAGCTTCCAAAACTGTAACCTATCCAATTCAGCAAAAGGGAAACGTGTTCTTATCTAAATTTTGAAACTGATTTTCACCAAAAGACAATCTGATAAATGTATAATAACAAAACTTACCTGGTCCGCAAGTTTGTCGACTTGCAATCTGATTTGGGACAAAGATTTTGAAGCCTTTTCAATCTTAGCATTTTGGATCATCTCTAAGCACCGCCTTTCTCGGCTTGCAATGTCTTCAACCAACACCATTTTTGATCCGTTTTTCACTCCTGCAACATCTAAATACAGTTTGGAATCTCTCTCTTTCTTTTTGTATATCAGCTTCTGATCTTGGTGGTGTAATCCTGTATGTTCTGCTAGCATTTTCTTCAATTCACCTGCCGCATACAACACTTAAAACTCCTCCTTGATCTCTATTAAAACAAAGAAAAAGAGACTAAAAAGTTTAAGAACTTGTCATTACCAAAGCTTGCTATAGAATTGATACAAACTTCATGATATGTAGAGCCATATTTGACTCTAACTTTAATGGTGGGAACTTGAACAGATGTTTGATTAGACTCTGAATTCCTCCTTTGAACCAACATTCCTCAAGGCCTAATTTCCCATTCTTCAACATTCATGTCAACTCCATCAATATCACCAGAACTATTTTTTCTGGGGAATGAAAACATCTCTTTAGCCTTGGACTTCATGGGTTCCTTGTAAAAAATTGTCTTGATGAAATTATGGAAGATGGAAAGAATCAGAAAAAGATAAGAGGAATTTTACAAGTCACAGAGGAGTAAGAGGAAACAAGAACCTTCATGGTAATTAATAATGTAAAAAGCAATGATAAGAAGTGAGTATATTTATATGTAAATGTAATGAAATGAGAAAAGTTGAGAGAGAAGGAAAAGGAAAAGGAATGGACAGCAAAGAGAAGAATCTATGAAGGTATAAAGAAAGAAGAAAAATATCAGAATGGTTGTGTTTTTGCGAAGTAGTTACGTGATGAAGGAGACAAACATGGAAGCAAATAATAATATATGCTTTTACATTTCAATCTATTTTGCAGGCAAAATTATAAATTATTATTATTATTATTTATTTTTTTTTTTTAAAGACATGTCTCAAGGTTTCGTTTTTCAATTATAAAATCATCAAAAAATTGTTTGAAATTTCATAAAATTTGCGAAATAAGAAGCTGAACTTATGCCTTTGAACAAATTGAGATGGGAGTAATTTTTGTTTATCCTAATGTGGCATGAAAAAATAAAGCATAATTAAAGATAAATATAGAGACAAAATAGAAACAGAAGGAGAGGGAAACTGAAAATAAAACTGTAGCAACCTTTGTAAGCAAACAGGAAAGCAGCTGTTTTGAGGGGACCATCTTTTTCTTTTCCTAATTATAAGTATGATCATCTCGAAAATTAACCTTAATTGCAGCATCATATCCATCTATAGATGTTCCTCGTAACAACATTTTCAATTTTCAAGTTTCAACCTTTAATGACATTTTTTTTTACTACTTTCAGAGTAGCAAGTTTCATTCCTCTCTTGTATTGTGAAGTGGTTAACAAAGATTAAATTAAAACTTGACAAATTCAGAGATCAAACACGCGTTAAAGATCTCTTCCAGTAACAACAGAAAGCAGGCTCTGCTGCTCTTCGAATCTCATTACAAGCCTAAAAGGCAAGAAAATGTGGTTTCTTTCCAATCTTATTCTCACTGCTCTTTCCGAGCTTTCGATCTGGGTCGCCTCGCTGGTTTGATTATGGAACCCAGGAGGATCAACACTATGGGAATAATGGTTCCTATATAATACACGCTTCCATATGAGGCAAGTGTTTCCCGCATGCTTAATACCTGTGTGCGCCAAACAACACGAATTACAATCTCTTAAACTCAAACTTGTGAGTGTATGTGAGAGAGAAGGAAGAACTAACCATGAAACCAACACAGGAATAGTTCAGAATCAAAATTGTGTAAATAAAGTTGAGAAATGCCATTATCTGCTTAACAAGAGCCATTTTTGGAGGCAGTGCTTGTTGCCATCTGTAAATGACTGCTCAGGGAAAAACAAAATATGAGGAAATGAAGGGCTAATTATTTAACAAAACAAAGGTCAAAAAGGGTGGTCAGACCAAATACCTCTTGAGCCAGCAATCATCAATGCTGACTGAACAAAGAATACGATGTACCCAGGATACAGACCCTGAGATTCAACAAGACAAAATTGGAAAGATTAAGGTTACATTTATGGCAAAGTCTTAGTAAAGACATTAAAAACTTTCACAATCCTATAAAATAGAAATACATGAAGCTATAACTGGTTATTCTTCATCCAGACAAATATAAAAATATCACATCACATGCTTATATGTATATGTGAGACTAGAATAATGACAAGTACAGGAAATACGGAAAGCTATTGAACAAGAAACAAGCCATTCAGAAATTTTAGAGGAACACCAGACACTGATACTGGGAAAAGCACTGATGCAGAACTGATGAATATCATGCTCCTTACTAGAATTGATAATATGGCACTCTACTATGTAGTCATAAACCATCCAAAGGCTATTGACCAAAGAAATTACACAAGGTCACACATCAAGGACCATAAGTGATGACATGTTTAAAAATTGCTATTATGTATCATAATCCTCAAAAGATAGTCCTATCAAAGAGCAAAAAATAAATAAAAAGGGATAATTATTCCAATTAATATGTGATATGTTTTTCTTGAAAAGAGAAGAAGGTACATTGGCAGTAACGTTCATTAGGTAAAATTGCCAGAGTAGAGTTCAGGAAAGCCACAAATTGTCAAATGCGTTTGTAACTGGGACATGCCTACTGATTATTTATATGCACAAACATATCACAAAAGAAAACTCATAATAAAGGTTTCGTGCATTATTTTAACATGATGTTGGAGCAATCAATAGATAACCACATATAGAACAAGAGCACACTCAGAACATCACAAGGTAAAATATACTCACATGCCAAACAGCACTAACAGTTTGTGTAGCCAGCAACTGAAAAAACCCAGGTTTCTTCCCAATCTGAATAAGCCTCTCATAAACATCTACAGAAACACAAAATATCAGATATGCTATCTCCGTTGCTTCATGGCTGCCAAGCATAAATGTAGTCCACAAATTTTTAAGTCAATGTAGGTAAACTTGTCTTCGTCATTGAAGCACACCATACCATGACATAATCAAAGGCTAGAAGTTAAACCAGTGAACTTGTTTTGAAATAAATATTTTGATATAAACCGCTTTAATTTATTATCCAGGCATATAACTACTTTAGACAAGTATTGATATGGGTTACTGATGGACTGCACTATGAATTTAGTTAAACCTACGATCATCTTACAATTTCCATCCAAAGAAACAAACAAATCTTTATTTATATAAATCCAATTGAAAAAGTGCACTATGGTTTGATTAAACCTACTAACATCTTACAATTTCCATCCAAAGAAACAAACAAATCTTCAACTAAATAAATCCAATTGAAGAAATGCACAGAAGGGTTCAACATATTTTGTATCAGGTTTTACTTTTTTTCTTTCAGTTGGGGTAATTTTAGGTATATTGAGATCATTAACATACCTCCAATGTAACCCAGTTACAGCCTAACTTAAATTTTCTCATCGTGAATATGAAAGTGCAGCAATTTTAAGACTTAAGACTGGTAAGATCATATTCATGGATGAAATTCTAATAGAACAGAGATACTCACAATGACGAAGCCAGGTGCTGACTTGTATGTTCCACACAAGCGGCAACTCCACCGAACTCTTGGCAAGCTCAACACCTAAAATGTCAACATTTTTTGCACGATCCCATTTTGGCTTTGGTGGAGAAGATTCTGTCCAACCACTGAAGCCCAGGCCAGAAATAATCATTGCAGCCTCTGAAATTGACCAGATGAAATAATATTTCCAACGTGCTGTAAAGCCAGATGTGTACTGATAGCTCAGCCGTTTCCAGAACCCCCATTCCTGGTAGATGGGTTCTGTAAATCGGGACAAGGGATGGTAAGGTACCAGGTAAAGATACAAGGCCATGCAGAAAGCTGCTTGGACAAGAGCTCGAAGCGTTGCTCCGTAAGGTGATGGCCATGGTCCGCTCCATATCTTGAAAAGGAATCAATTAGTAGGAACCATGAAGTCTATAACCAACAAGATAAAACACAAAGCAGAAAAAAAATAAAAAATAAAAAAAAGGAAACCCACCCCTTTCCCTTCGGACCACTCAAGATAATCTTTCATTTCATAAACTGGGCCAGCAAAGTGACTACCACAGCAGAGGCAGTAACCAAAATACTCAATCAACGAGGGTAACTTAATCAACCGATTTTTCTTCTGAGCTTCACGTAAGTTCTCCTCTTTCAATAATCCATCATTGTAATTTATTGCACACGAAATGACTTTCAGCGTTAACACCATTAGGGCACCTAAATATTAAAAATACCAGTTCACAATCAATTGCTACGCGAAAAGATAAAGAAAATTTCTGACACAACAATCAATGTAATTGAAAAAAGTTGAAACTCATCAAATATGAAAATGTAATAAATCAATAGAAGTCCAAAAACTTTAATAGTATAACAAAAAGAACACTCAAGGTTATCAAAAGTTGAAACTCATCAAATATGAAAATGTAATAAATCAATAGAAGTCCAAAAACTTTAATAGTATAACAAAAAGAACACTCAAGGTTATCAACCACTAATCAAACAACTTTTGGTTTTCATTTAAAGCAGTCTCACTCATCAACAACCTAGCTAAGAACAGAACTAGTTACAACAAGTCTTTAAATGCCAAAATAAGTTCATATTCAACAAATTTATTAAATTGGGTTTTCTAGACATTAATCCAAATTCCTTCCCAAACAGAGAAACGATTATCACTGATTTGACCCTCAAAAGAATAAATAAAAAACATAGAAAACAGCTGCAATGATGCTTACCAGTGGCATCTATACCTCCTTCCTTCCATGCATCTCCACTCATATAATATACATGGCTACAAATTTAAGCAAATAGTCAACAATTCTGAAATAACAAAGCATATAAGCATACAAAATAGAACCTCACCATCTAATTGAAACAAATATCAATTACAACGTCAATAAAAGAACAAGGAGCAACTTACCACTTCAAACTCATGAGAGATACAATACAGTATAACAGCATAACAAGAACATATAATGCATAACTAGATGGCTTTTAGATAATTTCTCCACATTATGTAACAGCTCAATTGTTCCACATTGTAAACGAATTAAATGCACACCTGTTCTTTTGATATATGTTACAAAGAATATACAGAACTTTTCTAGAACGTAGCTGGTATTATTTACATTTTTTTTTTTTTTTTTTAAATGTAGAAACATCAATCTATCTCATGGGGATTAGATACAAACTTAACCAACTTTGACAAACAACCAGCCCATTAACTTCACCTTTTCCAAGCATTCAAATAACTAGAGTATGAGCGCATATTAAAATACCAGAGCAGCAGGCACCTGAAAGTCTCATAAACAACAACAGTTTTAAGTTTCCTTTGCACTTATTGCAAGACAAAATTTGGCAATACTGTAAAATTTCATTAATGATGAAGGATAAATAATGTCATCCAAATGAAAGAGCAGAACAAGTAGAGTAATGAATCAAAACAAAAAATATTTAAGCATAACCATACTCTCCTACTCAATATCAAGTCAATCTTTATCTTTTCAACCATTGCAGACTCACACTCACTCTTGAGCTGAAAATACAACAAATTCCTTTAACCACATAAATCATTAATCTTAAAATAGAATCTTTAACTAAAAAACAAAAGAAAAAAAGGAACACTGTTTCATTCACAAAATTAAATAAATCTAAATTTATAAATTAAACATAGCAAGAAACTTCTAATTCATGCAACAATCGAAATAAACCAAGAACCAATTTTTAGCAACTCCAAATCAATACAAATCAAAGAAGAATAAAAATCAATTAAAATAACAATAATGTACCAGCCAATGAGATAACCGAAGCCCAAGAAGAACGTAATGACTCCACATTTAGAACGAAAAAACACCATTGAAAGATAACCCAACAACATGGGCACCAAAAAGTGAAGATTTGAAGAGAAGCCGAATGCCAAATACGATAAAGTCAGGCCAGACGCAGCGGCGTACACGTGCTTCCCAAGTCGACCGGGGACGAGTCGCCATAGAAAACTGAAAGGAATAGTAGCCACGAAGCATAAAAGAAACCGGCACACGGGGACCGAGACCCCGATCAACGACGCTATTGAATCGATGTCGAGGTGCGTCATGATAAGAGTTTGGACGTTCACTCAGTGGGCTGGGGTTTGAAACTCAGTAACTCACTGAGTTGGTGGCAGTTTATCTATTTGAAGATTGTGTGGATTTTATTTGAGGGGGAAACTGAACGTCACTCGTGCGTCTGAAAATCAAAGTAGATGCTTTGCGTTGGTTTAGTTTGGTGGTTTGGGAATGAATTTACAGATTGTCCTTTATGATGTTGAAGCGAAAGTCGTAACGAATGATCTTTGTGAGGTTGGGAGCGAGAGAAACAAAGATTTCGTCAGGCGTCACGTCTGGGATTTAAACTGCGCGTTTGTTTGTTTGATCACGTGCCTTGAAGTTATCGGATTTCGTAAGTACACACAAAACCAAACTCATTTATTTATTAATGTATAATTAAAAGATTGATTTATGTTTTGTATGATATTTTATTTAGGTTTATGAAGAGGCTTAATGAAATTTAATGCAACTACTTTCGACTCTTATAGTCCACTAAATAATATCAATGTTAGAAAAGGAATACATATTAAAATAATAATTAATGTTTATGTGATATGTTGTGACATTATTTAATGAAATGTGGTTACACTTACATCAGGCGTATTAAATGCATTGTCCAATTATGTGGGGAAGCGGTGGCATTAATGCATGCCTAATCAAATTCAACTTTAATTAAATTATGCAACCGTTCCAAGTACCCATTATGTGATGACTATGAGATATCTGAACTGGGCCCCTTATTATTTTTTTCCAAATCTGGTGGTTTTAGCTCAAGTTTAACTCACCTTCCCTCTTCAACAACCCTCTCCAACGCCGTTGTCGGAGCCCCAACTCCTCCCCATTCCCCTAGCCACCACTTATCTATAATTCCGAATCCCAAGTGATTTCTTGCTTAATTACTCTTTATAAAGCTCAAATGAGGAACCCAGTAAAGCCATTGCGAGCTCAAGCAAAACTCATTTGGAAGAAACCATGGAAAGATTACGAAACCACTTCAGATATGTAGACGAAAGCTACAATTTTTATTATATTTTCAGTTAAAACAGTTTATCCTATTAAATATTTTTTCTTTGGTAACAGGAGGAGGAGATAGAGCGTGAACTGGCTGAAGTTACATTTGGGACCTGCAAAAGGCACGCTCGGATGGTTCGCATTTGGTTTACCGAAGCAAAGTCAAGAAAAGAAGTCGGGAGAGCAAACAAGACAGTTTTTATGAGTTTATTTATTAGAGCTTTTAATTTTTTTAATATTCATTTCATGTATGGGTGTTGATGGTGGTTGTGGTTTATATGTATGCAGGCCAATGGAGGTTAGTGCGAAAAAGCCCGTTAGTCGGTTTAGAGAGGTTGTTCAAGCTCCCAAAAAAGTATGTTATTCAATCGGTTTAGTTATGAAGGATTATTTCTATTTTGCATTTTGCATTTTTAATAATTCAATGCTAGATGGTTGAATTTGTTAATTTTATAGTTAGTTATGTACTTATCAAGGCCTGTTTGGTTGTGAATGGCGTTTGTATTGAATAAAATATGCCACAGTAGCCAATCGAATAACATTTTTTCTGTTTTTCCTTTCTCATTAATATCCTTGCAGATGCTTAACATTTTAGTTTGTTCATATTGTGAGGTTTTTTTTTTTTCTTTTTGCTTTTTTTTTTTTTTTTGGTGATAGAAGTTATGATGGCTCGAAGTTCTAAATGCTAATTGTTGTCAGTGAAGCATGGGAATTTGTCATATATTCCTTGAGTTCATATTATTTAGATGATTAGATGGACGGTTATTTATTTATTGCTTTCGGCATTTTTTTCAAATCTAGAACGTAAGGGACTTGAGCATTAGATTTCCAGTATGCTTCTGGTTATATCAATTTCATTAGTTACTTTTGGTCAAGAACCATCTTTCCTTCTTGCTATCATTTGAAATTTCATACTGGACAACATCACATCTAGGAAAATCGTAGTGCTCTTCTTTTCAAAAAGATACCAAATTACTAGCTAGCTCATGCTTATTTTATTGTAATTATTTCAATTGAAAAATAGATGGAATAAATTAATTGCTTTTATTCAGGTGGTACGTGACCCTCGTTTTGAATCGCTGTGTGGTAACCTCGATGTTGATGGGTAAGCCTTCCTCTCTCTTTGTTGTATCAGTTCTATACTTGGGTTGATTTGAGCTAGAAGAATGCAAATATAAATTCAAACTTGATAAAGAAAAATATATTCTCCATTATTGCTTTTGATATTTCATACTTGTCCCTAGAATAGTCTTGTATCCATTCTTTATTTCCTTGTGTGATTTTTTGTTTGAGGCTTGCACTAATTTAGCGATATGTGGGTTATCAGTTCCAAAGTTTGATCTTTTGGCTTCTTTAGTTCTTTTAGAGCATCACATTATTCAATGGGACACAAACTTACAATTCTGAGTCTGAATGTACCAATATTTGTCCATAAGCCATTTCAAAGTCGTCATTCTGGATTTATTCTAGACTCTTACTGTTTTTTTTTTTTTTTTTTTTTTTAAGTAAAGTGGTAGATATATATAATAGAAAATGATGGAGAGAAAAATAAAATTGGAGACAGCCTCCAGATTTTAAGAAGTGGGCCAATTGCTTTAAGTTTTGTGTTTTATGTTATCTTGGGCTAGTGTGACAATTGTTGACCTTGCAAGGTTTTTTCTTGAGGGTTTGCATTATGGCTTTGGAGAGCTGAGAATGGATGTTAGTGTACTCACTTTTATCCCCTGCAATCAGATAAACGCTGATCTTGGCAAGATGAATAAAATTTGATTTTTTGAGGGGCTCTCAAAAGGTATTTGAAATCTGGGATCATTTACTATAAATTTAGAGTACCGGGAGTCAAATGCTGATTTTAGATGTGCTTTTTGAGTCAGAATTCTATTTGTTGAAGATAAAAAAATAGTTGTGGATCTAATCTCCTACTTTTTATAATTGAAATCTGAAACAGACACCAACCAGAGTGTTTCCTTAGTTTCAAGGCTGCCGAACTTTCTTGGAATTTATTTATTTTTTTCCCCAAGTATTTATTATTGCTTTGATCTTCTTTGACCAGTTTGATTTTGGACTGTAAATAAGATTTACATTCGTTTTTGGGGATTGAAAACAACTAGAAGTTGGATAGTGATCCTATTCCAGTTAGCTTTATGAAATTTTAATTGAATCCATTAAGTTTTATTGACTTATGATTTCATTTTGGAGATGCTAAGTTCCTGCAATGGACCTCATCTGATATTCTCTAATATTTGGAAATGGCTTTCTGGCTTATATTGTTCAGAGCATTTCATAGTTGAGAAAGTTTGTAAATTTCATAATTAAGAGGGTTGTAATACTTTTACATTGTGTCTGTTGCAAAACTGGTACTTGTTTTATATCTTTTTGTCATGGTTTAGATGATTCCTTATCTGTCTATGATAGAATTTTTGTTATGTAAATGATACATGTGCTTGGATCTTGTAGGTTTAGGAAGAGATATGATTTCCTTTTTGAAAATAATCTTCCTGCTGAAAAAGAGGTAATCTTCTTAAATCATGACCATGGAGATTTTTTTTAATGTCATTTCCTCTTCTCTTTACATTCTCCACAACTTTTTTTCTGAGTATAATAGGAACTGAAGAAGCAATTGAAGAAAACAAATGACCCAGATTTTATTGAGGAATTGAAGAAGCACATATCCTGGATTGTAAGTCTTTTCTTTATTAGAAAGAAATTTTCATTTTGAACAGTGTCAATATATGATCATGTTAATATATTCTCTTAAACCTTAATGTACCACACCAGACATAGTGAGGCATCTTATGTATGAAGTTTCTTCTTCTTTTTCCACGTTTTATCAGGACAAACAATTAAAATTTGAAACAGCAAAGAGTACTGATGCTGCCGTACTGTCTGAGCACAAGAAGAAAGAGAGAGAAGCTGCAAAACATGGGAAACGACCCTTCTATCTTAAGAAATGTAATGTTGTCAACCTCTCCCACTTCCTCTTCCTCTTTCTACTTCTCATTTGATAGTATCTTTTGTGCTTCTGCCAAGTACTTAGCTGATGTCTTGAAATATAATTAGTGTGCTTCTTATAATTTCCATAACAATAATATTATACTTACAAAGATTTCCATACAAAGTGAGATGGCAAAAAATGAATAGAAGAGTGAAACAACAAGTCAAATTCATTATATTCACTCTTCCATTCATTTGTTGTCACATCACTTTGTATGGAGATTTTTGTAAAATTTCTTTATAAGTGTAGCATTATTCCATCCATAAGATGATATATTTGCATCGGGTCTCCTGGAATTGGAGTTGTGGACCTTTTTGGCAAGCCTTTACCATGATTGAGTTGATTTTAGAGCTGCTTCTTTAGCTATTCGTTGTGTCTGTGGTTCATAACTATTAAAAAGATTGTTGAGGTTTTGTGATTACTGTTACCTTAATAAGAGGATGTGTAAATTATAGTGGTCTGCACTAATCAGTATTATTATTATTATTATTATTTTCTCATTTTTACGTGATACTGTTGCGGTAAACTACACAAGTCATGCTTTAAAGTTCTGTATTTTTTGCGGCTGTGTTTATAGATTCTGTTCACATGGTTCCTAAACAAATAAACATGAACTTGACTAAAGTTATTTGAAAGCTTACCTTGTTTTCTCTTTTCAGCTGAAATCCGGAAGCAAAGACTTGTCGAGAAATATAACAAACTCAAGGTACACATTTGGCTTTTCTTATGATTTTCTCAGGTGTGGTAATTATTCCAGTGATAACTTGTTTTAGCTTAATAATAAATTATTTGATATGATCAGGCATCCGGCAAGCTTGAATCCTTCATTGAGAAGAAAAGAAGGAAAAATGCTTCCAAAGATCACAAATATATGCCATATCGTCGACCCAACACCAACACCGAGCAGTAGAAGTAATAATTTTATAAGTTTTTTGGTTGGTCAAGATTGTCTATACCTTAAATTCCATCCAATAAATGTCGGTATCATCTAGCTATCTTTGAAGGGTATGGGCAGCGTAAGGTAAAGAACAGGGTTCAACAGTTTTGTAATTGTAGTTTAGAATTGGGTAACACTTGTTTGAGTTCAAAGTTTTGTATTTATATGATATTAACTTGATTCATAATCATAGATGGATATCGTTGGTTCTAGACTTGGGCATTTGAGACTGGTCCCAAAAACCCGGCCCAAAGGACTAGTCCCAAAAACTCGGCCCAAAGGACTAGTCCTAGTCCTAGGAGGGTTTGGTCCCAAACCGGACCAAGCCTATGGGAGAAGGGATTGGTTCCTTGATTGGGCCCTCCTCTAAGGCTCGAGCCCAAACCCCTTTGCTTAATTTTAAAAAAGTCTTAAGTAAAATATTCAAAAACCCTTGAAAATTCTGAAATTGATAAAAATATTAAGGGTTAAATTGATATTTTACAAAAAAAATAATAATAATAATACAACACATGAACACTCCCCCGATCCTAAACTATAAATAGTTCCTCACACTTCCAATTTTTTTCACACCAACTCTGAATCTCTCATTCTTTCAGTCTCTCTACTTCAATTCAATTCTCATTCATATTTTCTTCAATTCAATTTATATTTATATTTATAATTTATTCATATAATTTATTTATATTTTTCAATTTTTCAATATCATCTCTTATTCATATCATTATTATTTTTTTTTTTATTTTAATTATTTATTATTTTATCATAAATTCGTAATGGAATGGTCAAATGAGTTCTACATTCTATCAATCGAAAAAATGGAAGGGTTTGATCCATTTTCACCCTTTCCAGAGATAACGGATGCAATTCAACGACAACAACCACATTTAGCCGAGACGGGATGTAACCAAACACAAGTAAGCTGCGACTCCATAGCCTAACCCTCCCGACCGTCAAAGGGGATTGTGTCCGATGTATGGTGACACTTCAAATCAAAACAAGCAAAGGGAAATGGGGAGGGGGAAGAATCGTATAGGGTATGTAATTTCTGTGGAACTGTTATCGACACTGAGAAGGGGACTTTGACGATGCAACGACATTTGGAGAAAAAGCACCTTCAAATAATGCAGTTGTCCGGTTCATCTTCAACCGGACCAAGTAGACAAATTCAAACTCAATTTAATTTTAATCTACAATCCTCAACTCTATCAACATAACAATACAATGTACTCCAAGCACGAGAGAAAATAGCAAAATACATAGTTGCTACAGACTTTCCCATTTCTTTATCTAAAAATCCTTTTTTTATTCACTTGATTAAAACTGCATTTTGCCTAATATATAACTTATTAGTAGAAGTATAGATAGAAGAGGCATACTAAAACTTTATAACCAAATAAATATTTAACTTAAAAATGAATTTTAAAATTTTAAAAATATACCTGTTGCACTTACTTCAAACATATGGGTTTATAGATCAAAACAGATTTTTTAACAATCACAATACATTTCTTAGATCATGGTTAGGGTTTACAACAAAAATTGATGGGTTTTAGACCATTATATACTGCACATAATGTTGACATTATTTATTTTACAATACTTTAAGTTTTGCAAGAATATGTATTAACTGATAGAGTTGTAGTGCTAACTAGATAATGCAGTTGCTAACACCGCGACTATCTCTTTATTTGAGAAGAGATTGGATCCGCGTGGTAAAGACATATTTTTTCACCAGAGATGTGCTTGCCACGTCATCAATTTGATTGTTAAAGCAGATTTAGAAGTTATAAATTTGAAGATTGAAAGGATGCGCGCGGCTATCAGATTCATCATTGGCGGTAACAACAAAAAATGGCAAGAGTACGTCAAATATTGTAAGTAAGAGGATCCACCGATTCGACCTTTGAAGTTATGTACATACATACCTATCCATTAGAACTCCACCTACTTGATGTTGGAAAAAGTTTTGCCAACCACAAGACAAATTACATATTTCGTCAACCGGAAGAATCCACAGGAAGTTGTCAGCTATGATGATTGAACGGTTTGCGAACTTTTTTATTCATTTCTTAAAGTTTTTTTTATGAATCCATTAATACATTAAGTGACATTTATTATTCTGCTACTAATTTAGCGTTAGATATTTTACTTCAAATTTCTAAAACTTTTGCTAAATATAGATATATTGACGTTTTAATGGAAATTGTTTCAAAGATGAAAAAAAATACGAGAAATATTGGTTAGATATTCCATTCTTATATGAATTATGTCTTGTTGTAGATCTTGGGTTTAAATTACACGTAGTTACTGAGATAGGCCAACATTTAGGATATGATTATACGTATTATTTGATTAACTTTAAGCAAAAATTGGAAAGTTTTTTTTCTTTATATCAGAGTAGGTACAATGGAACTGCAACGTCCAGCAAAGACGACCAAAAGGACCCTAATGAAGATAACTATCAAGAATCAAGCATGTGGACGTATATGGAACATGGCGACGGAAGTAGCAGCTCCAACACGTATCTACATTGACCAAATGAGCTGAATTACTACCTATAAATGGACATGTCCTACATGACGAAGAAGGAGAAACGTGAGATGGATGCGCTTTAATGGTGGAAACAACATCAAAGTCGATTCCCTATTGTAGCCCAAATGACACATGACATTTTATCTGTGCTGGTTTCTACAATTGCATCCGAGTTAACATTTTCAACGAGTGGTTGGATTGTTGAAGATAGAATATGCTCTTTAACCAATGAGATGATTGAAGTAATAACGTGTTTATGGGATTGGATTCATGCAGAGAGAAGACTTCAACAACACCTTGAAGATCCTGAACTACTCGAACTCTTCAGGAACACAAATTTGAACGATGTAAATATTGTTGACAATAAATAATTTAATAAAAACAAATTTATTTAATTGTTTATTTGTGAAGTGTGAATATTACATATATGTTAAAATTAATTAATTAAATTATCTCTCTAATGTTTAAATTTAAATTCTCATATTTATAAATAATTAATCATTTATTTATTTATTATTTTTAAAAATTAACTAATTTCTGGGGGTGAAATAAATTTTTCAGACCCCTAAAAATTACATAAACCTCTTTACATAATTTTTTTTGAGCCCAAATATAAAAAAAAAAATGGAATGATGAAAAATAATTTTTCAGGCTCATAGAACCGGTCCTATGGGCCCATGACCAATCTTAGGGACTGACCCAGATGCTAAAATTTCTCATGGACCTCCGTCCCAGCCCATGAGCAACCGCTCCCAAATGGGATCGGCTCTGAGCGGTCCCTTCAGCACCTTTGTCATGGTTTCTGTAGAATCTCTTCAATTATTGCTAAGAGACACCACAGCAGAGATCTTTAATGTTTTATGATACTGAAATTGACAACTCAAATCAAGGATCACTGAACAATAATATCATTCATTAAATAAAATATCATATTCTTCTTCTCCACTGGGGTGGGGTTTGTATATTCAAGTATTTATATTATTCATTATCTATAAATATGTGTTTATGAATTTTGAATTGTTCAAATGTCATTGACTTATGCGTGGGATAAGTTATATTTATGGCTCAAGGATAATATTTATTTAACTTTTTTTAATCATTCTTTTGTTGCATAGGAAATAAATAAAAGGGAGTTTATTATATGAAAAATGCTATCCTTACAAAGACTTATACAAAGAAGGCTATAAAGTGAAGAAAAAAACAAAGAAAAAACGAAAAAAGAGAAAGAGGGAAAGAAAAATCATGAAGATCAAGAGTAAATGTTATCTTTGTATGCTCCCTTTGTATTTGTCTTTGTAAAACTAACATTTCCCTTATTATATTTTCGTGTAATGTTAATGTATAAGGGACTTGTGCCCGGATAGTTAGAAAGACGCAAGGTTGAAATCATTCTTTCGGTTTTGAGCTCGAATTATCATATCTAAAAGCAGTTTAATTATATTTCTTATTGTTTAAACAAAATTTTGTAAAATCAGAAGACTAAACAATTGAAATGAGTGTACTTAAAATAATAGAGTGAAATCACAGAGGACAAAAAAAAAAAATTGTGTTGTGTGGATATTAGTATATATTATTACTAGGGTGTTCAAAAGAACCGGTTGGAATCAGAACCGACGGGTATCCTGGGTTTGGTTCCGATTTCTACCTAGAACCAATCGTCAATGGGTAGGTTCCGGTTCCAAATTTTTGGAACCGTTACTGTACGGTTCCGGTTCCGGTTCCTATAGTTAGGAACAGGAACCAGGAACCGAGACTAATATAAAATAAAATTAAAGATTAGCGGGGTTAATAAAAACTTTTATAGAAAAAGTAATGTGAATACATTTATATTTATATTTCATAACATTTAAAGTAAGTTAGTTTGACTTTGGAGAATCTACCTTTACAAAGTAATGAAGTTTGTAATTTTGAATTTATAATTTGTAATTTTATTTTTGTTAACAAGTGCTAGATGGAGGGATATTTATAAGCTTTTAAGGGTTTTTTTATTATTTTAAAAATTTTTGGAAGGTTATGTAATTTTATAGGGTATTCAGAATCAGAACCAAAACCGTTGTTACAAGTTTTGGTTTTGGGTACCTAGAAAATAGAATCAAAACCGTTAATTTTGATTCTAATTCTGATTCCTTAAAAAAGTACATGATACCCAGAACTTAACACCTATAATTATTACTCAGTGTAATAACAAAGAAATAATAATAAAATCTCTCCATGATTTTTGATTTAAGTAACAATTTCATTCCTGAGGTTTTGACTTTTGAATGATAATGAAAGGATCAAAACGATGATGGCAGAAGATCTGAAGAGGAGGCTGAGCAATCTGCACAATAACTACGAGTCATATCCTAGTCTGACACGTGCCACTATACTCACCGAACCATCCAGTTACATGGTCACATCAACCGGCATCAGGCGGACACCGCTCTGTTATTACGTGCTGACACACTCTGCCACTTCCCGCTCATTATAATTGCCTCCTCAACACTCAACACTCATCTCCATCTCAATATCTATTTTTTTCTTTAAAAAAATATTTATTTATTTTTGCAAAAACAAAAAGGATAGAAAGCTCTTCAAAATCGAGTCCTAGGTATGGTCTCATTTATCTTTTAGTTTCACTTTTTGGCTGTATATTTGACTATTTGTTCCTTTTTCTGACACTGACATTTTCTGGGTAGTGTGTTAAATGTGGCGGCTTGTAAGTAGATGACTGATCGGTGACAGGAAAATGTGGGAAAATAGAGTGGAAGGAAACAGTTCAAAGCTTTTTAATTGTGTTTTGGAACTTGAAATGACGCGTATGAGACTATTTACTTGAGGCTAATCTTTTCTTCTCTGTTTTTGAAGCAACAAGATTAAACATTTTCAAGGTTATATTTCTTATGATCCTTTGATTTGTCGTTTAGTTAACACTGCCTAATTAGTCTTTCTTAGATTTTACATATTTAGGTATAAGACTCTTTTTTGTTTGTTTCCAGGGGCAATCCTGCTATTTAATTATAGATTTTCCTCAAGCTGTAGAGCAAAAATAACTTTGGAAGTTTCCATCTAGGGAAAACATAGGACGCGAAGTGTTTGATATTTAAAGGGTTGAATTCTTGTTAACTGGATTATTTTTCATTGTCTTGAACGGTTGAGTTGAGTATGCTTTTTATCTTTCTGGGGTGCTTGTTAAATTTGGTTTTGTTTAAGAATTAATTAATTGTTCCTTCTCCTAACATAGGTTTGTAGGAGTGGGGATGGCTTTTGGGGCCTTATCCGATTCCAAATATCAATTGGCATTGTGCTTCAAGGCAATGACACAGCAGCAGTCCTCAAACTCTGAATCTGTTAACTCATTACAAAAAGATGGACACTACCAGGCTGTGGTAACTTCTCTCTTGAATGTATCTTCAGGAAATTTTCCAGCTTCTGTTGGTAAAGTTGCACACATGAATGAGTGTATGGTCTCTAAGAAAACAAATCCAACCCTTGTAAATGAAACAGCAAATTTCCAACCCAGTATGTTGAGTTCTTTTGTCCCTGAGGGTAGTTCAGCAGTTTCAACACATGCTAATTCTGATGTGTATTCTTACCTCAATATACCGCCATTGCCTTTGCCTATGTTACCCTCTTGTTTAAGCAGTTCAGGGACTTCAAATTTTGGCTTAGAAAACTCACAAACACACAAAAGGAGACGACATCGAGGAGGTGCAAAACTGGATCGTGCTACTACAACTGCGGTGCATAAGAAAGCCAGATTAGAGATGGAGCAAGAGGCCATCCAGCAGCACCAAAATGTTTTGCAGTATGATCCAAAGTTGGATGGTGGTGTATGTTCACGCCGCATAATGCAGTATATGTATCATCTGAGGCATCGCCCATCTGTGAGTTACTCCTCTAGTTGTATAACTAGGCAATATGTTGTTGGGTTTCCTGACAATGTGACACAATCTTTGTGTCTTTTAACTTTATGCATCCACATTTTCTTAAAGAGTAGTGATACAGTTCAAGGTGGTTGAACTTTTTTTTTTTTTTTTCAATTTTTTATTCAGGATAATGGTATTGCCTTCTGGAGGAAACTTGTGACAGAGTACTTTGCTCCTTGTGCCAAGAAAAGGTGGTGTTTGTCTTCCTATGATGATGTGGAACGCTATGCCCCTGGTGTTTTCCCACAAGTTTTCATGTTGAGTGATACATTAATCTTCTTTCATGGATATCTTGTCCATTCGTTCCAGTGCAGGCTTTCAATTATTTGTAGCTTATGGCTTAAGATAGTTTAATTAGTGCATGTGAATGCACTTTCTTTTCTGTATATCTTGCATGCCCTTTTATGGTTATGTATTCTATGCATCTACATGTCTTGAACATCTTTTCCCCCATAAGTATGTGTTAATATGGCTTAGCTTGCAAGTAAAATTTGTTTGTTGCTATTTTTTTTTTTTTTTTCCAGAATACTTGGCAGTGTGATGTATGCGGTTGTAAATCAGGGAGGGGGTTTGGTAAGCAAATTTAGTGGTACATTACTCTTGTTAAATCGTTTTTTCTCATAAGCTAAATGTGTTTGGTGATATATGACTTCTTTCTGTCCTTGTCCTAATGGCAGAGGCAAATTTGGAAGCACTTCCTAGGCTTAATAAAATAATGTTCGAGAGTGGTGTGATCGATGAACTCTTGTATCTTGATCTGCCATGTGAGCTTATACAATTTTCTGGATTAATGACTTTAGAATATGGCAAAGCAGTTCAAGAGAGTGTGTATGAACAATTCCGTGTTGTTCGTTAGGGTAAACTTTGCATAAGTTTCTCTTCTGATCTGAAGGTGAGACTTGAGAGCCCATTACAGATGAAATTGGTAGATTCGTTCATCATGTTGATCTCATTTTATATGTTCATTATTTTTCAGATACTGTCTTGGGAATTTTGTGCATGGCATCATGAAGAACTTTTGCCTCGAAATTTGGTCGCTCCTCAGGTATTAAATCATTGTACTTATCTGGTCTGTACATTCTTGACAGTCTCCATCTGTTCATATTTGTGGTCCGACTTTGAAGTAGCATATTGATTGTGTAATTGGTTTTATTTGACATTCAGTTTTATAGTCCCTTGTGGTGCGGCATCTTTTTACTAATATTATTCTTGAAATATGTCCTGTTTACAGATCAATAAGTTGGTCCATACTGTTCAAAGCTATCAAAGCTCTATTGACTGTGGTGGATGGGATGGGGTTTCACCCCATGACTTACAAGCAAATTGCAATGTGTAAGGTTTTAGTCTCCTTCCGGTGAATGAATCTTTGCAACTCCAAATGAAAGAGAAAATTTGTAGTTTGAGTCGGTGATATCAGCCTATTTTAATTGATTAATCTAATTGATCAAACATACAAACAAATATACGATTGACAAATGCAAATATGTAAATTCCAAACCGTGGCAAATAAATACCAGCACGCATAGTTTCTATGATTCTATCCCATTCTTTGGCCTTAGTTAAAGTCCTCTGTGGATTCTATTTCCTTCACGTTGATTGACAAGTTGATGAATTAAGAATCTGACTTTTAAAGCTTTGAAAGATTGAGCAGATACAATGCAATTTGTTGAAATGAGATTGTTTCTAGGTTAAAATGAGGATATTGTATATTTATTTGCTTGTATGAATCTAGAAAGTAGGAACTTTGATGCCATAAACTATTCATGAACAAAAAAATAAATAAACATATCTGTTCCTTTATGTATGGAGCTTTTATAATTTACAAATGTTATATGCTTATTAATAATTTCTCTTGCTATAGGTTTCTGGTGGGTGGGTGTCAGCTTGTTAGAAATTTGGAGTTACAGCCGGTTGATAACTTGGGGTTTTCCAAGAGATATGTCCGGTGCTTGCAGGTACATCCACATTATATGTTCTGTTTTAAATTGAGATTAATATAATAATTGTCTAGATTCAAATTGTTATTGTTTTACAGATATCTGAGATTATCAACAGTATGAAAGACTTGATCACTTTCAGCATGGACAAAAACATTGGACCTATTGGTGAGTAGTTTCTCATGTATGACTGTAGATGGTATGCAATATCTTATAGGTTTGGGCATTTTTCTGTATTCCATCTCCCAAGTGTCTTGTATTTCACAGTAACAGTAGGGTCAATTTCTTCTATTTTATCTTCACTTTACTTTCAATTTTTAGACTTTAGATTTAATGTTCATAATCTGCCTTTTTCATTTAATATCGAGGTTGTAACAATGCTCTAAGGTCAAATGCAAGATAGTTATGCTTGTTTTTCTTAAAACAACTTTGGGTCAAAATTCCTATCGATATTCACCTCAAGAATAGTTTTCTTTTTTTTGAGAAAAACAAACTTTCTTCCTAGGGAAGATTGATCTTTCATCATATGCTGCTACTTTGACCGAAGGTGTTGCTATTATCTGATACCAATGCTTTTGTTTAGAGAGCTTGAAATGTTATTCTCAAGAAAACCGCACAACCAAACCCCAGGAAGATGAACCACAAAGAAAGGAAAGTGATCATTACCCTTCAGTTGGCAGGAGAAAGTTAATGGCCACTTCTCTTTTTAACAATGATGGAAATGAAAAATCAGACATTCCTAGATGTGGGCCTATGACTGCCTCAGAAGAAGCATTGGTGTCTCCTGGTTATTATACACGATTGCTGGGGCGGAACTCATTTAACTCCGATATGAGCAAAGTGATGCCGGAGCATTCGTCATCATGCATCAGGACTAAACTGGGTGCATCTCCGATATCTCTTGGAGGTCTTAAAACCTTAAATACTGGAAATATTAAGGATTTATTAGTTGACGGCTTGTCAAGTTCCCATTCCTCCGGATGCAAGCAGAAAACGGAGAACAACCTTATTCAGAAATTGCTACAGGAAATGATCAATAACAGTAGAACAGCAAAGAGGGGAAGTGAGTTGGATAAAGTACACCATAAGCGTAGTAGCAGTACCGTGGCTGACTTGCCAGCCGCAATGGATGACTACAAGGTAGCTTTCAACGACAGTCAGGCTGCCTTGGGAAATGCAACAAATAATACTGTGGGGAAATTCAACTCCGTTACAGCTGCAGCTTCTGATGTGGACCATTATGGGATTTATGGTAATGGGAGTTTCTCTAGAAGAGAACATCATTTGCCAGAAGTTACCCACAGCATCGTTTCTGGGTTTAACTCAAAAACACAATTTCTGATGTAGTTGTGGTGACTGAGCTCATTGTGATATCTATCAAGTTAAGTGTCTCAACATAGAGCTTCACAGGAGCTCTTTTTTATTGTTACTGTCGATACTAAATCAGGGATTAACGTGTAATCTAGTTTCCTGACAATTAGGTGATATAAGCTTTTATTAGCACAAGTTTTTGAGATGCCTACCAGATTACTATCAATCTCCAAGCGAAACAATGAACAATGAAAGCCTGATGTTTAAATGGTGAAGCCAGGATACTACTGGTGTAAGTAAACGAGTTAAGCTATATTACAACTCGTTTTCCAAAATTGATGACTAAAAATAGATTCCATTACAATGAACAGCTGGATTGCGGAACAATCTCTGCAAATTATTGTCATCCAAACGTACAAATAATAATAGAGGCTTAATGATTCCGGTTTAGAGAGCATTTCCAAACAAACATATTTATGTGAAAAAGCGTAAAAAACAAATTTGAATAAAACAATTAAATGTTTCTTCTAAGAAGACTCAATAAAATCTTAAATAAACTCGCAATTGTAAAACTAGCGAGACCAGAATGTATCACAGCCATGAACAAGAGTTTCACAACCCTGAAGCTCCTACAGAGAAAGGGGGAAAAAAAACTGATATATTACATTGTGATTCAATTGTCAAGTAGGCATTCGTCTAGTACAAGAAGCCCTCCACAACAAAAAAGGATAATTACACACTAATAGACAATAACATACACAACGTCTGGCGTAAAAATGGTTCCAGACCTGAAAGAACTACCGGTATTTGTTTCCGCTCCCTCTTGAAGATGCTCTACCTCTACATTATATTGTACTTCCTACATGCAGTGGTTAAATGCTGCTCAAAAATGCTTTAACCTCCCTGTATATTTTCTAGGGTATATTTGTACAGAATCTAAACAGAGACCGCCTTTAGTATGTGTGCAATCAATTTGGGTCATAGAGAACTTAATCTTCGTTAATGCATTGGCATTCTCTACAACGAAATCCCCAATGTGGTATCGAATCCATCTTCCAGATTCATTCAAGATACATTGAGATGAAGCATGCTGACCATCTGAAGTCCAAAGCTGAAACTGAACAGGCTTTCTGTCCCAACCATGGACATGCTCAGTGTTGCAGATACGGCGACCAAACCTCTTGGCCGTCCGACCCAACTGCAGTCTGAAGAACACGCTATAGGTTCCCACTGGAAATGGAAACTCCATCTCACCATCAACTTCAAACCACCAGATTTGCTGAAGATATGCAACTGAAGCAAATCTACATACACAAAAATAAAATCAATTCCACCACTCCATTTTGCTATAAAACATCTAAAACCACTCATACAGCATCAGAAGAAACATATCCAACTCCTTGATTACTTTTGTAAAGCATGAAACATCAAAGCTATATATTTTTAATTCATATGACTAAGTCACAATCCACTATGATGCTATATTGAAAGAATCATCAGGGTGATAATAAGGAGGCCTAATTTTACTCCCAAAACATATGGGCAAAGACAAAAACAAAACCTACCTAAAAACTAGTAAGTAATACAAGAATTAATATTTAAAATTTCATTAAACATGCAATGAAGTAATCGTTCAAAAAGTTAACTATAATGATTTGCAGATCAAATACTTCTATGGCACGTTAATAGAACTAGTCATTCAAAAGGTCAAAAACAACACGCAGTCAAAATCTAGGAAGCACTTTTCCAGAGAAGGTTTCTAACATGACAAAATGTTTAATGAAGAAATACAATCTCAAGTTCCCCTGTAACATCACAACCTCATGCATTGAAACATCATAATACAATAAAGATAACAAAAGAACCTACTCTGAAGAAATTCAGCAAGAAATTGCTCCCAACACCGGCACTTTTATCAGCCAATCTAAAAAAATATACTAGATAATAAGAATCCAACAAGCTTTTCCATTCTCATTAAAACAGTTCCAATAAATCTCACCTAGATTCCTCAGTCGGAATATGATTCCAATATCTTCGATCATCAATACCCGTGATTGCTAAACCCTTTGCAGAAATTGATAAACACACACCACCACTACTCTTATCAAGCCATACTTTCTGTACATAAACCAAAATATACAAGCTCATCAACACCAAAACTAAAAACGCGTATCAAATTACAACACCAACGGTAAATCTCAAAAAAATAATTTGATTGTTTAATAGGTTCTCATCCTTTTGGTAAGTAACAACAACAATAATTACAATTACAACATAAAGAATCCAAAAAAAAAAAAAATCATCTTTTTTTCTTAAAAATACAAAGAGCTGAATGAAATTAAATACCCAAAATTTCTCTCTCATTATCTTATAACCTCAAACTTTCTCAGGGTCCAAACATGTAATAATTACCTTTGTGCCACCATCAAGGGTATTAGTACCACAAAGTCTGGCGTAAATCTCTCTTTTACCCATGTTTTCTTTATTTGTAGTTTGAGTCGGTGATATCAGCCTATTTTAATTGATTAATAAATTGATCAAACATACAAACAAATATACGATTGACAAATGCAAATAGTAAATTCCAAACCGTGGCAATAAATACCAGCAAGCATAGTTTCTATGATTCTATCCATTCTTTGGCCTTAGTTAAAGTCCTCTGTGGATTCTATTTCCTTCACGTTGATTGACAATGATGAATTAAGAATCTGACTTTTAAAGCTTTGAAAGATTGAGCAGATACAATGCAATTTGTTGAAATGAGATTGTTTCTAGGTTAAAATGAGGATATTGTATATATTTGCTTGTATGAATCAGAAAGTAGGAACTTTGATGCCATAACTATTCATGAACAAAAAAAAATAAAACATATCTGTTCCTTTATGTATGGAGCTTTTATAATTTACAAAGTGTATATGCTTATTAATAATTTCTCTTGCTATAGGTTTCTGGTGGCTGGATGTCAGCTTGTTAGAAATTTGGAGTTACAGCCGGTTGATAACTTGGGGTTTTCCAAGAGATATGTCCGGTGCTTGAGGTATATCCACATTAATGTTCTGTTTTAAATGAGATTAATATAATAATTGTATGATTCAAATTGTTATGTTTTACAGATACTGAGATTATCAACAGTATGAAAGACTTGATCACTTTCAGCATGGACAAAAACATTGGACCTATGGTGAGTAGTTTCTATGTATGACTGTAGATGGTATGCAATATCTTATAGGTTTGGGCATTTTTTCGTATTCCATTCCCAAGTGTCGTGATTTCACAGTAACAGTGGGTATCTCACTGACTTTCATTTTTAGACTTAGATTTAATGTTCTATATCTGCCTTTTATTTAATATCGAGGTTGTAACAATGCTCTAAGGTCAAATGCAAGATAGTTATGGTTTTCTTATAACAATTTTAGGTCAAAATTCCTATCGATATTCACCTCAAGAATAGTTTTCTTTTTTTGAGAAAAACAAACTTTCTTCCTAGGGAAGATGATCTTCATCATATGCTGCTACTTTGACCGAAGGTGTTGCTATATCTGATACCAATGCTTTTGTTTAGAGAGCTGAATGTTATTCTCAAGAAAACCGCACAACCAAACCAGGAAGATGAACCACAAAGAAAGGAAAGTGATCATTACCCTTCAGTTGGCAGGAGAAAGTTTATGGCCACTTCTCTTTTAACAATGATGGAAATGAAAAATCAGACATTACTAGATGTGGGCTATGACTGCTCAGAAGAGCATTGGTGTCTCCTGGTTATTATACACGATTGCTGGGACGGAACTCATTTAACTGCGATATGAGCAAGGTGATGCCGGAGCATTTGTCATCATCCATCAGGACTAAACTGGGTGCATCTCCGATTATCTTGGAGGTCTTAAAACTTAAATACTGGAAATATTAAGGTTATTAGTTGACGGCTTGTCAAGTTCCCATTCCTCCGAATGCAAGCAGAAAACAGAGAACAACCTTATTCAGAAAATGCTACTGGAAATGATCAATAACAGTAGAACAGCAAAGGGGAAGTGAGTTGGATAAAGTACACCATAAGGTAGTGCAGTACCGTGGCTGACTTGCCAGCCGCAATGGATGATACAAGTAGCTTTCAACGACAGTCAGGCGCCTTGGGAAATGCAACAAATAATACTGTGGGGAAATTCAACTCGTTACAGCTGCAGCTTTGATGTGGACCATTATGGGATTTATGGTAATGGGAGTTTCGTAGAGAGAACCATTTGCAGAAGTTACCCACAGCATAGTTTTTACTTGAGGCTAATCTTTTCTTCTCTGTTTTTGAAGCAACAAGATTAAAAATTTTCAAGGTTATATTTCTTATGATCCTTTGATTTGTCGTTTAGTTAACACTGCCTAATTAGTCTTTCTTAGATTTTACATATTTAGGTATAAGACTCTTTTTTGTTTGTTTCCAGGGGCAATCCTGCTATTTAATTATAGATTTTCCTCAAGCTGTAGAGCAAAAATAACTTTGGAAGTTTCCATCTAGGGAAAACATAGGACGCGAAGTGTTTGATATTTAAAGGGTTGAATTCTTGTTAACTGGATTATTTTTCATTGTCTTGAACGGTTGAGTTGAGTATGCTTTTTATCTTTCTGGGGTGCTTGTTAAATTTGGTTTTGTTTAAGAATTAATTAATTGTTCCTTCTCCTAACATAGGTTTGTAGGAGTGGGGATGGCTTTTGGGGCCTTATCCGATTCCAAATATCAATTGGCATTGTGCTTCAAGGCAATGACACAGCAGCAGTCCTCAAACTCTGAATCTGTTAACTCATTACAAAAAGATGGACACTACCAGGCTGTGGTAACTTCTCTCTTGAATGTATCTTCAGGAAATTTTCCAGCTTCTGTTGGTAAAGTTGCACACATGAATGAGTGTATGGTCTCTAAGAAAACAAATCCAACCCTTGTAAATGAAACAGCAAATTTCCAACCCAGTATGTTGAGTTCTTTTGTCCCTGAGGGTAGTTCAGCAGTTTCAACACATGCTAATTCTGATGTGTATTCTTACCTCAATATACCGCCATTGCCTTTGCCTATGTTACCCTCTTGTTTAAGCAGTTCAGGGACTTCAAATTTTGGCTTAGAAAACTCACAAACACACAAAAGGAGACGACATCGAGGAGGTGCAAAACTGGATCGTGCTACTACAACTGCGGTGCATAAGAAAGCCAGATTAGAGATGGAGCAAGAGGCCATCCAGCAGCACCAAAATGTTTTGCAGTATGATCCAAAGTTGGATGGTGGTGTATGTTCACGCCGCATAATGCAGTATATGTATCATCTGAGGCATCGCCCATCTGTGAGTTACTCCTCTAGTTGTATAACTAGGCAATATGTTGTTGGGTTTCCTGACAATGTGACACAATCTTTGTGTCTTTTAACTTTATGCATCCACATTTTCTTAAAGAGTAGTGATACAGTTCAAGGTGGTTGAACTTTTTTTTTTTTTTTTCAATTTTTTATTCAGGATAATGGTATTGCCTTCTGGAGGAAACTTGTGACAGAGTACTTTGCTCCTTGTGCCAAGAAAAGGTGGTGTTTGTCTTCCTATGATGATGTGGAACGCTATGCCCCTGGTGTTTTCCCACAAGTTTTCATGTTGAGTGATACATTAATCTTCTTTCATGGATATCTTGTCCATTCGTTCCAGTGCAGGCTTTCAATTATTTGTAGCTTATGGCTTAAGATAGTTTAATTAGTGCATGTGAATGCACTTTCTTTTCTGTATATCTTGCATGCCCTTTTATGGTTATGTATTCTATGCATCTACATGTCTTGAACATCTTTTCCCCCATAAGTATGTGTTAATATGGCTTAGCTTGCAAGTAAAATTTGTTTGTTGCTATTTTTTTTTTTTTTTTCCAGAATACTTGGCAGTGTGATGTATGCGGTTGTAAATCAGGGAGGGGGTTTGGTAAGCAAATTTAGTGGTACATTACTCTTGTTAAATCGTTTTTTCTCATAAGCTAAATGTGTTTGGTGATATATGACTTCTTTCTGTCCTTGTCCTAATGGCAGAGGCAAATTTGGAAGCACTTCCTAGGCTTAATAAAATAATGTTCGAGAGTGGTGTGATCGATGAACTCTTGTATCTTGATCTGCCATGTGAGCTTATACAATTTTCTGGATTAATGACTTTAGAATATGGCAAAGCAGTTCAAGAGAGTGTGTATGAACAATTCCGTGTTGTTCGTTAGGGTAAACTTTGCATAAGTTTCTCTTCTGATCTGAAGGTGAGACTTGAGAGCCCATTACAGATGAAATTGGTAGATTCGTTCATCATGTTGATCTCATTTTATATGTTCATTATTTTTCAGATACTGTCTTGGGAATTTTGTGCATGGCATCATGAAGAACTTTTGCCTCGAAATTTGGTCGCTCCTCAGGTATTAAATCATTGTACTTATCTGGTCTGTACATTCTTGACAGTCTCCATCTGTTCATATTTGTGGTCCGACTTTGAAGTAGCATATTGATTGTGTAATTGGTTTTATTTGACATTCAGTTTTATAGTCCCTTGTGGTGCGGCATCTTTTTACTAATATTATTCTTGAAATATGTCCTGTTTACAGATCAATAAGTTGGTCCATACTGTTCAAAGCTATCAAAGCTCTATTGACTGTGGTGGATGGGATGGGGTTTCACCCCATGACTTACAAGCAAATTGCAATGTGTAAGGTTTTAGTCTCCTTCCGGTGAATGAATCTTTGCAACTCCAAATGAAAGAGAAAATTTGTAGTTTGAGTCGGTGATATCAGCCTATTTTAATTGATTAATCTAATTGATCAAACATACAAACAAATATACGATTGACAAATGCAAATATGTAAATTCCAAACCGTGGCAAATAAATACCAGCACGCATAGTTTCTATGATTCTATCCCATTCTTTGGCCTTAGTTAAAGTCCTCTGTGGATTCTATTTCCTTCACGTTGATTGACAAGTTGATGAATTAAGAATCTGACTTTTAAAGCTTTGAAAGATTGAGCAGATACAATGCAATTTGTTGAAATGAGATTGTTTCTAGGTTAAAATGAGGATATTGTATATTTATTTGCTTGTATGAATCTAGAAAGTAGGAACTTTGATGCCATAAACTATTCATGAACAAAAAAATAAATAAACATATCTGTTCCTTTATGTATGGAGCTTTTATAATTTACAAATGTTATATGCTTATTAATAATTTCTCTTGCTATAGGTTTCTGGTGGGTGGGTGTCAGCTTGTTAGAAATTTGGAGTTACAGCCGGTTGATAACTTGGGGTTTTCCAAGAGATATGTCCGGTGCTTGCAGGTACATCCACATTATATGTTCTGTTTTAAATTGAGATTAATATAATAATTGTCTAGATTCAAATTGTTATTGTTTTACAGATATCTGAGATTATCAACAGTATGAAAGACTTGATCACTTTCAGCATGGACAAAAACATTGGACCTATTGGTGAGTAGTTTCTCATGTATGACTGTAGATGGTATGCAATATCTTATAGGTTTGGGCATTTTTCTGTATTCCATCTCCCAAGTGTCTTGTATTTCACAGTAACAGTAGGGTCAATTTCTTCTATTTTATCTTCACTTTACTTTCAATTTTTAGACTTTAGATTTAATGTTCATAATCTGCCTTTTTCATTTAATATCGAGGTTGTAACAATGCTCTAAGGTCAAATGCAAGATAGTTATGCTTGTTTTTCTTAAAACAACTTTGGGTCAAAATTCCTATCGATATTCACCTCAAGAATAGTTTTCTTTTTTTTGAGAAAAACAAACTTTCTTCCTAGGGAAGATTGATCTTTCATCATATGCTGCTACTTTGACCGAAGGTGTTGCTATTATCTGATACCAATGCTTTTGTTTAGAGAGCTTGAAATGTTATTCTCAAGAAAACCGCACAACCAAACCCCAGGAAGATGAACCACAAAGAAAGGAAAGTGATCATTACCCTTCAGTTGGCAGGAGAAAGTTAATGGCCACTTCTCTTTTTAACAATGATGGAAATGAAAAATCAGACATTCCTAGATGTGGGCCTATGACTGCCTCAGAAGAAGCATTGGTGTCTCCTGGTTATTATACACGATTGCTGGGGCGGAACTCATTTAACTCCGATATGAGCAAAGTGATGCCGGAGCATTCGTCATCATGCATCAGGACTAAACTGGGTGCATCTCCGATATCTCTTGGAGGTCTTAAAACCTTAAATACTGGAAATATTAAGGATTTATTAGTTGACGGCTTGTCAAGTTCCCATTCCTCCGGATGCAAGCAGAAAACGGAGAACAACCTTATTCAGAAATTGCTACAGGAAATGATCAATAACAGTAGAACAGCAAAGAGGGGAAGTGAGTTGGATAAAGTACACCATAAGCGTAGTAGCAGTACCGTGGCTGACTTGCCAGCCGCAATGGATGACTACAAGGTAGCTTTCAACGACAGTCAGGCTGCCTTGGGAAATGCAACAAATAATACTGTGGGGAAATTCAACTCCGTTACAGCTGCAGCTTCTGATGTGGACCATTATGGGATTTATGGTAATGGGAGTTTCTCTAGAAGAGAACATCATTTGCCAGAAGTTACCCACAGCATCGTTTCTGGGTTTAACTCAAAAACACAATTTCTGATGTAGTTGTGGTGACTGAGCTCATTGTGATTTCTATCAAGTTAAGTGTCTCAACATAGAGCTTCACAGGAGCTCTTTTTTATTGTTACTGTCGATACTAAATCAGGGATTAACGTGTAATCTAGTTTCCTGACAATTAGGTGATATAAGCTTTTATTAGCACAAGTTTTTGAGATGCCTACCAGATTACTATCAATCTCCAAGCGAAACAATGAACAATGAAAGCCTGATGTTTAAATGGTGAAGCCAGGATACTACTGGTGTAAGTAAACGAGTTAAGCTATATTACAACTCGTTTTCCAAAATTGATGACTAAAAATAGATTCCATTACAATGAACAGCTGGATTGCGGAACAATCTCTGCAAATTATTGTCATCCAAACGTACAAATAATAATAGAGGCTTAATGATTCCGGTTTAGAGAGCATTTCCAAACAAACATATTTATGTGAAAAAGCGTAAAAAACAAATTTGAATAAAACAATTAAATGTTTCTTCTAAGAAGACTCAATAAAATCTTAAATAAACTCGCAATTGTAAAACTAGCGAGACCAGAATGTATCACAGCCATGAACAAGAGTTTCACAACCCTGAAGCTCCTACAGAGAAAGGGGGAAAAAAAACTGATATATTACATTGTGATTCAATTGTCAAGTAGGCATTCGTCTAGTACAAGAAGCCCTCCACAACAAAAAAGGATAATTACACACTAATAGACAATAACATACACAACGTCTGGCGTAAAAATGGTTCCAGACCTGAAAGAACTACCGGTATTTGTTTCCGCTCCCTCTTGAAGATGCTCTACCTCTACATTATATTGTACTTCCTACATGCAGTGGTTAAATGCTGCTCAAAAATGCTTTAACCTCCCTGTATATTTTCTAGGGTATATTTGTACAGAATCTAAACAGAGACCGCCTTTAGTATGTGTGCAATCAATTTGGGTCATAGAGAACTTAATCTTCGTTAATGCATTGGCATTCTCTACAACGAAATCCCCAATGTGGTATCGAATCCATCTTCCAGATTCATTCAAGATACATTGAGATGAAGCATGCTGACCATCTGAAGTCCAAAGCTGAAACTGAACAGGCTTTCTGTCCCAACCATGGACATGCTCAGTGTTGCAGATACGGCGACCAAACCTCTTGGCCGTCCGACCCAACTGCAGTCTGAAGAACACGCTATAGGTTCCCACTGGAAATGGAAACTCCATCTCACCATCAACTTCAAACCACCAGATTTGCTGAAGATATGCAACTGAAGCAAATCTACATACACAAAAATAAAATCAATTCCACCACTCCATTTTGCTATAAAACATCTAAAACCACTCATACAGCATCAGAAGAAACATATCCAACTCCTTGATTACTTTTGTAAAGCATGAAACATCAAAGCTATATATTTTTAATTCATATGACTAAGTCACAATCCACTATGATGCTATATTGAAAGAATCATCAGGGTGATAATAAGGAGGCCTAATTTTACTCCCAAAACATATGGGCAAAGACAAAAACAAAACCTACCTAAAAACTAGTAAGTAATACAAGAATTAATATTTAAAATTTCATTAAACATGCAATGAAGTAATCGTTCAAAAAGTTAACTATAATGATTTGCAGATCAAATACTTCTATGGCACGTTAATAGAACTAGTCATTCAAAAGGTCAAAAACAACACGCAGTCAAAATCTAGGAAGCACTTTTCCAGAGAAGGTTTCTAACATGACAAAATGTTTAATGAAGAAATACAATCTCAAGTTCCCCTGTAACATCACAACCTCATGCATTGAAACATCATAATACAATAAAGATAACAAAAGAACCTACTCTGAAGAAATTCAGCAAGAAATTGCTCCCAACACCGGCACTTTTATCAGCCAATCTAAAAAAATATACTAGATAATAAGAATCCAACAAGCTTTTCCATTCTCATTAAAACAGTTCCAATAAATCTCACCTAGATTCCTCAGTCGGAATATGATTCCAATATCTTCGATCATCAATACCCGTGATTGCTAAACCCTTTGCAGAAATTGATAAACACACACCACCACTACTCTTATCAAGCCATACTTTCTGTACATAAACCAAAATATACAAGCTCATCAACACCAAAACTAAAAACGCGTATCAAATTACAACACCAACGGTAAATCTCAAAAAAATAATTTGATTGTTTAATAGGTTCTCATCCTTTTGGTAAGTAACAACAACAATAATTACAATTACAACATAAAGAATCCAAAAAAAAAAAAAATCATCTTTTTTTCTTAAAAATACAAAGAGCTGAATGAAATTAAATACCCAAAATTTCTCTCTCATTATCTTATAACCTCAAACTTTCTCAGGGTCCAAACATGTAATAATTACCTTTGTGCCACCATCAAGGGTATTAGTACCACAAAGTCTGGCGTAAATCTCTCTTTTACCCATGTTTTCTTTGAGATCACCGAGTACTTTCTCAATCAAAGTTTGATAGTTTGAAGGCAATTTCGATTCCCAAACAAAATCAGCCAAAGACGCACCGCGAAAAGCCCTGTTAAGCTTCGCCAATTTACAAATCTCCGGCGGATCCAAATACGCAATAATTGACGCCACACAACTCTCCGGCAAATCACCAAGACCCGGCTTCGCTTGAACCGAAACAGAAGACCAGTTTGGGTCAAAAAATAAAGCAGAGAAACTCGCACCCATCAAGAAAAAAAAAAAACCCAAAACAGAGCACGACAGAGAGGACTAGAAAGTTCGATAAATCAAAGCGAGAAGGAGAGAGGGAAGGAATAAGAAAAGGGGTTAAAACGGTACTTGTAGTTATTGATGGTGAGAACGGACGCGTACAGATTTCTTAGGTTAAAGGTGTTTGTTTTGAATGGCTTTTGTCCTGTTTGTTTCGAGGGTAAAATGTAAAAACATAGATAAAATAAAGGGGAGTGACACAGAATTTGTGGAGGTAAAATCTATGCATTAGAAATAATAATAATATATATACTTTAATTTATTTTTAGAAATAATACATATTATCTGTGGAGTTTATCTCTATAAATAAATTAGTTTTTAATATTTTCGTTTAATGATCTTGCTATAATAAGTAAATAATTTCCGTTTAAAGTCGATGATTTGAGTGTCTACAATACAATACAATACAATACAATGTGTTAGTTCCAACTGTTTTATTATATTTATTAAAAAGGAGTAATGTTATATTTACAAGGAAATCTTACAAAAGTCTTCATAGAAAATGATATGATAAAAAGTGAATATAATGAGTTTGACTTTTTGTTTCACTTTTCCATTCATTTTTTGTCACCTTACTTTGTATAGAAATATTTGTAATTGTAGTATTATTTATTAAAAAAAAGTTATTTCTATTTGTCGAAATTGGAAAAAGAATATTATAATAAAATTATCATTATAAATGTTAGAAAACATAAAAAAAAAAAAAGGTTATTTACCAAATTACATCCATTAAATATATGTTAGGCCCAAATTGGGTAAATGAGATATGGTAAATTAAATAATTTAAAGAGCCATAAAAGTAAATGTCACTAAAATTATGAAAATCCCTTGCAATCATATCATATGTTTATTATAATTATGGTATTTATAATGATTTGGAAATGAATTGATGTATTTGAATTTGAATTACACCATTCATATTTCATATCTTTATTCACCACTTTCTCTATAATAAAAGATATTTATAATTTAAAATAATTATACATTTGTCTTATATTGATAAAATCATCCTAAATATCGCACAATTGTTGGTCCAGACTCCGGAGAAGCCCACGTTTCATAGACAAAATAAAAATATTAATAAGCATGGTCCTACTTCATTGACGTATAAGTATGTGAAGAATATTGGGTACGTTTGGTGTAGTATTTTAGATAGGATTTTGAGGATAGTATTGGATTGTTGGATAGGGGAGTATTACGAGGTAAATTTAAAAAATTTATGAAAAAGCCCTTAGGTTTACTAATTTAATTAAAGACCCTACTATATAAAAGGACAAAAACACCCCTACCACCTGCAGTGTCAGATTCCGGCCGCCACCGTCAGAATCTGGCCGGAAAATTTCGTTACGGCACAGACCGATCGGATCTATGCCGTAACGCATCATTATGGCCTTTTCTGGCCAGATCCACCATGGATCTGGCCGGAAAAGGCCAGATCTACGGCCTGTTATGGCTGTCGACGGCTGGAAAGGCCAAAACGACGGCCAAAGATGTGGCCGTCGTTTTCGGTCAACGACGGCAATTTCTTTGGCCGTTGCTGACGGCCAGATCTAGCCTTTTCCGGCCAGATCGGTGTAATTCCGGCCATTTATGGTCGGAATTTAGGCCGTTGTACAGATTTCGGCTATCACCGGCGGTGGTTGCCGGAATTTGAAAAGTTGGGTTGATGGGGGGGTTTTTGTTAATTTAAAAAAAAAAAAATTCAGGGGGCATTTAGTGAAATTAATAACCTTATGGGGTCTAAAAGTAATTAAAAAATAGGGTAATATTTCTGGAATAGTGTGCCAAACATTATTTGGAGAATAAGATTGAGAATATGAATAAAAATAGGGAGTCAAACGCACCCATTAATATTTATGATGTAAAAACTACGTCGTAAATTCTCATTGTTTTTTTCTTGGCTTTCTTTTTATAGCAATTTTGAGATTATTATTTTATTTAAAAAAAAAAAAAATTTATTGGACGGGAATGTTTAAAAATTCTGTAATGGAAATAGAAGATTAGACTAATGTTGAAAAATTGTGGACCAATAAAAGCACGTACAGTCAGCAAAAAGTATGTCCAAGTGGCCGTGTTTCCGAGTCAGCATGGACCTCTCAGACACCAAATGTAGATAAGAGCTGATGTGGAGATTCATTTTTATAATTAATTTCAGAATATATATTACCAAGCCTAAGATTACTCATTAAGGAAACATATATTTCAAAGTCTAAAACAACCGAAAGCCTTTTGAATCTGTTAAAGGAAATTATACCTTGGCAGGGAATGAGGCTAACATTATTCAAAAATATCAAAAACAAAGAGATGGAAGTTGACTATTAGGTGGCGATGATGAAGAACAAGAAGACAAGGAACAATTATAATGTTAAATAATTGAGTAAGTTGTCCTTTGTATTTAAGCCAAACCAATTACAAGAATGGCTACTACACCTTGTCACTATCTTCCATTCTTGATTGATTTCCTCTTCTACAATAACAACTGATGGAGACTCTGTTTCTCCTTTTTAACTTCATTCAGTTTAACACTCTTAATGAGTATAATTCGTTTCGACCTTTAGATTTTGGCAAAAAACCTCTTCTATTTTGGTGTTGGCATTTGATTTGTCTCCCATCCTCTCACTCCATCGACACACTAACACAAATAGCTCTAGATTGATGTATAATGTTGTTGAATTGAGATCAAGATAGAGAAAGAAGACTGATCTATAGCTAGGGATGTAAAAAAACCCGACTCGGCTTTGGCTTGGTCTGGGCATAAATTAAACTTGGACATACACTAGGTTTGAGTATATTATTTGACGATATGTAAAATTATCAAAGGCCCTACATAAAATTTCAAATACCCCCCTAAAAAGTAAAAACTCACAAAATCCCCCTAAAAAGTATCCAACTACCTTTCATCATGTAAACTTACAAATAACCCCTACTCAATTATATACAACCCCATCAATTAATTAAAATCTCATTATATAACCACGCTTAATCACCATGAGATTCATGTCACTGGATTGATATAATATTTTACAACATAGATCAAATAATATATATGCATGATCCTAACAAATTAATATCAGGACGGCTTGGTTAATGGATTATTCTCTCTCTCTCACTCTCTCTCTCTTATATATATATATATATATATTCTTGAGTCCTTATGTGTTTTGATGTGCCAAAACTAACCAAAGAGTTAATTGATTCTTTAACAAACATGCTAAGGTATGACAAGAAGTCATAATAAAAAACAAAATGCACTTTTCCGAGTTGGTATGACCATGCATGACAAAGGAATGATCGTTCCTTGTATCACAAAGTTGCCCAGATGCACGTTCCTCTCAGCACGACAATGTTCCAAATAATTGTTAGGTTCTAATCGAATTATACATAGCGTGAAATTAAAATTTTTTGATTGAAACCCTGAATGCCCGTTAATCCTTATACTGACTTGCGTTATTTACATGTTAAATTCCATAAAATAAATTCAGATATTGTTTTATACCTATGTTGATGGCTTCTTCTCTTTATGAAACTCGAATCACTATCACTCCAAGGTTAGGAATGCACAAACGGTGATCCACACGAAGACAAGAGGAAGTCCAATTGATTTATCTGCTAAAATAATACCAATTGTTTCAAGAACAAAAATTCCATAATTTTTCAACAAAAAAATCTTTTCAATCTGTGTTGAACACGTTTGGGTGAGAGAGAGTGGGTGGCTAGGGTTTATTTTCTTGTTATTGTTCTATTATGTTTTTAGTTTAAAGTTATACTTATATAGTGCAACAAATGAAAACCCTATTCCTAATTGGAATAGCATTAACCCTTTTCCTTTATTGGAATATCATATTCCTAATTGGAATAGCATTAACCCTTTTTTCGTTATTTGAATATACAAATTCCAATATCCACTCATTACTTATTTGATATTTTATTTTAATTAATTATTATTTTCATAAATATTAATATATAAAAAATACATTAATATTTCATAATAATAATAATAATAATAATACATTTAAATATATATAAATATATAAATATGTATTCTCACTTATTTTAATTCCAATATAAAATTAAATATAGGCAACAATCTCAATAGATTTAATAGCATTGTAAGATTACCAAAATACATTTTCATCCTAAAAGACGAAATTACCCCTTTCACTTAAATTCTTAAACTGTCTCCTAAGTGTGTAACCCGTAGGTTCCTTATCATATTGATAGTGGGTAATATCAGGATTAACATCCCATTAATTGTCTTACTATACACAGACTAAGATTGGCCTCTAACAAGGTATTATAGCCACTCGATAGATTTAGATTCAACGACATAACTTCCTATCAATGGTATGATTACCGTGCAATTCAATATTTTCATCATTTATTATCTCATCAAAGTTTGAAGCATAGAAATAGTGTCAGCTTCAAGTATGAATAACCATGATATATTCGTATTCAGTTATCAGACTAACAACCAAACAAGCAATAACTCGATTCCATTATGGTCACAGATTTAAGGTCGTTGCCTTTTACCAAATATCTCACCAAGATAATTTCTCTTGTTCCTAAGAGTGATGAATCCTTTGTTGACCCACCATAGTCATAGTATACTTCTCGATGTAGCCAATCACTACTATACTGATAACCCTAAATAGGATTACATTTGGCTAGCATAAAACTACACCAATATTTACACATAGTGCTTTGATAATCTCAAGTCTAAGGATCACATGCATCACCATCCATTAGAGGATGTATTCCATAGACACTAGGGTTTCATTCTATATAAAATCCTCTACATAGGTCGGTCTAGTGAACTCATGAATAATAAGCACCCATGCGTTGCACCAAGTTGTCACTAAGCAATTTTGACATGTGAGATCTGTCACTATCTTTCGATATGATCATTCAACGCTATGATAGTCTTATTGTATTATCTGTGCCCTTGGTCAGAATAATACTCGGGCTATGGACGTTTCTAGAATGGTTACCATATGTGCTCATAGAGATCTCACAATCAAGACTTATAACTGTTTGATTACCTCATCACAGTTTCACCACTCTAAGGACATATATTACTACATACCTTATAAATGAAGCCTTTTATTAATAGAATAACACAATACATA